GCAACCTCTGCCTCCCAGGTTCAAGCGATTCTCCTGCCTCAGCCTCCTGAGTAGCTGGGATTACAGGTGCCTGCCACCACACCGAGCTAATTTTTGTATTTTTAGTAGAGGTGGGGTTTCACCACGTTGGTCAGGCTGGTCTAAAACTCCTGATCTCGTGATCTGCCCGCCTCAGCCTCCTAAAGTGCTGGGTTTACAGGCATGAGCTACCATACCTGGCCGAGTGTGTATATTTCTAAACCATGTCATGAGGCTGCAGGCGTCCTGACCCTCACCCCAATGGCTCAGGGCACATCAGTGAGCACAGTATCTCATGCCTGTAATCCCAGCACTTTGGGAGGCCGAGGCAGATGGATCAGTTGTGGTCAGGAGTTTGAGACCAGCCTGGCCAAACATGGTGGATCTCCATCTCTACCAAAACTACAAAAATTAGCCAAGTGTGGTAGCAGGTGCCTGTAATCCCACCTACTTGGAAGGCTGAGGCAGGAGGTTGCAGTGAGCCGAGATCAGCCATTGCACTCCAGCCTGGGCAACAGAGCAAGACTCCTTAAAAAAAGAAAGAAAGAAAAAGGACATTAGCCTCAGTGCTGTTACCACCTCACCTCATCCCTATGGCAGCACCTAATTGCCAGTCCACAGTGCGGCTTCCCAGCTGGCCTAGTGATAGCCATGATAGCTGTTTTTCTCTCCTGATCTGGGCCCGATCCAGGCATCTGGAGTTACATTTGGTTTTCTCGTGTTTAGACTATTTTCTGCAACAATCCTCTGACTTGCTTCGCCTTTCCTGGCCCCGACTTGAAGTGTCCTGGTCAATTGTCTTGTAGAATGTCCTGCAGCCTGGGATTTGTGATTAATCCTCGTGGTTAGACTTGGATTAAATATTTTTGGCAGGAGACCTCCATGGATAATGCATCCTTCCACTGCATTGGTTAACGGGTGCATGATGCTGGGTTGTTTCATGGCTGAAGGCGGGGCAGGTTTGATTAAGGATGGTGGTTTTTTATTTAATTTTTTTTTTTTTTTGAGATGGAGTCTTACTCTGTCAGCAGGCTGGAGTGCAGTGGTGTGATCTCGGTTCACTGCAACCCCCACCTCCCGGATTCAAGCGATTCTTTCACCTCAACCTTCTGAGTAGCTGGGACTATAGGCACTCGTCACTTTTGTGTTTTTAGTAGAGATGGGGTTTCACCATGTCGGCCAGGCTGGTCTTGAACTCCTGACCTCATGATCTGCCTGCTTCGGCCTCCCAAAGAACTAGGATTACAGGCTACTGAGCCCAGCCTATTTGTTGTATTTTTTATTGTGTATTAGAAAAGATACCACCAGCAGAGTCACTGGTAACTTAAGGATATTTTTGCTTAGGCTGAAGCTTGATTAGGCAGGTAAGTAAAAGCAAATTGAGATGATTTCAAGAAAAATCCTGAGTGAATCACTGGACAACTGGACAGAGAAGGTTCTCGAAGGTGATCTAGGAAGAGTTGAGCTTCTGGAAGCCCAGATAGACTGGTTGAGAACACAGGCCTTGGTGATGGGCAAACCCAGCTGAGGCTGAAACCATGGGCACGTTCCTTCAGTCACCTCCCTCCAGCTCAGCTTCCTCTCCAGTTTGGGGTGGTAGCTGCTCAGCAGGGGGCTGGAATTTGGACGAAGGACAGCCTGACCCATGCTAGAGCTCCCTGGCTGGCGGGAGGACTGGAGGCAGGTGGCCAGGACCCCAGAGATATTCCTCTGCCTATTGTCTTCAAGACCTTCCAAGGCCCGGCTCACTGGCTCACACCTGTAATCCCAGCACTTTGGGAGTCTGAGGCAGGTGGATCACTTGAGGTCAGAAGTTTGAGACCAGTCTGGCCGACATGTGAAACCCCCCGTCTCTACGAAAAATATAAAAAGTAGCTGGGCGTGATGGTTCGTGCCTGTAGTTCCGGTTGCTTGGGAGGCTGAGACCCAAGTGAGGATCACTTGAACCTGGAAGGTGGAGGTTGCAGTGAGCCGAGATGGCACCACTGCACTCCAGCCTGGGTGACAGAGGGAGACTTTGTCTCCAGAAAAAAAAAAAAGACCCTTCAAGGTCCCAGGCAGTGAAGCAGTTAGGATTGCTGGCCCCTGGCTGGGTGCCGGGGGATACCTGCCGGCATCGACTGCTTCCTAAAGGTCAATTCACTGCTTAAAGCATGGGCCGAGCTTATCTCCCCTACCCTAACTCCAGTTCCCTGGGGCTTGGCCCCCTGTTGATCACCCAGGGCTCTGTAGGGAGCCTTTCTAATGGGGAGAACCCTAGTCATGGAGTCTCCCCTACTGTCCTACTGGGGGTGTAGTGGGGTTGAGGAAGGACTTGGAGGCTGAGGCAGAGCCCTGGGGGAGTGCTGCTGGGAGGCATGGGGGGGCGGGGGGTCAAGGCAGAGTGGGCCTTCTGAGCTGGCGGTCCAGGGAAGCCCTTCTCTGGCACTATGATTCCTGCCTAAAGTCAGCAGTGGCCATGCCCCCCAGCTCCTGCTGTTTATGTTGAATGCTGCAATTCCTTGCCAAGGTCATACAAGGTCATGCAGACTCAAGGGGATGTACCCGTCCTGATCTCTGGGGGCGAAGTCCTGGCTCTGCTGCTTCCTGGCAAAGGGACCTCAGGTGATCCCAGACAAATAAGCGGACCCGTCGGAACCTCAATTCCTCAGTGGGAAAACTCCCTGTGGGGTTTTTGTGAAGCTGAGGGGCGGCAAGCACTTCAGTTTTCCCAACAATCCCATTTCACAGATGAGAAAATTGAGGCTCAGACAGGGGAAGCAGTTTGCCCAAGGATGCACAGTGCCCTGTGGGTCTGCATTTGAACCCAGGCAGTCTGGTCTGACTTTAGCACCTGTGGCCCTGAACTCCTGCTGGTACCATGATGCATCGCCTGTGTCTCCAGGTTTGGGCTTTCCGCATCTGCCCCATAGCCCCGACTGCCATCATGGGGGCAGGCCCAGGCAGCCAGGCAGGATCAGACCAAGGATACCTTTCTTCTCCACCCATGCCAAACCCTGAACCCCTTCCTGCCCCATACTGTTTGCCAAAACTTTATCTCAGAAAATTGCTTTCTTTGACTCCAGGCCCGGTGTTTCTGGGTAACCGGTGTCTCCCACTGTTGCCTCCTCTCTCTCTCTCTCTCTCTCTCTCTCTCTCTGTCTCTTTTTGAGATGGAGTCTTGCTCCCAGGCTGGAGTGCAGTGGTGCAAACTTGGCTCACTGCAACCTTCGCCTCCCAGGTTGAAGCCATTCTCCTGCCTCAGCCTCCTGAGTAGCTGGAACTATAGTCTGTCGCCAGGCTGGAGTGCAGTTGTGCCACCACACCCAGCTAACTTTTTGTATTTTTAGTAGAGACGGGGTTTCACTATGTTGACCAGGATGGTCTTGATCTCTTGACCTCATGATCCACCCGCCTCGGCCTCCCAAAGTGCTGGGATTACAGGCGTGAGCCACCGCGCCCGGCCTGTCTCCTCTCTTTTTATCTGAGGCCTGCTTGCAGACAGGTCTCTGGCTCCCATTTGGGCTTGTGGGGGGAGAGTGCTAACCAGCCTGGGGGTGGAGGCTTCTAGTCTGCCCAGGAATCCGGCCGCAGGATTCTGAGCCGCAGACCTGAGGGTCAGACCCTTGCCTTGCCACTTCCTGATCTCTTCGTTCCTCAGTTTCCACATTTGGAGCCAGGGCAGAGTTGTGCCGTCCTCCCTCCATGCAGTCCTAAGAGCGGCTGCGCCAAAGCACAGAGGCCGCCCTGGGCGCAGATTTGTGCTTACGGTGGACTCTTGGTATTTGGCAGTTGCTGTTTTTGAAAAGCGGCTTCCTCAAGTCTGGTCAGGCAGAAACAATTCACAGAAACCTTTTTGGGCTTCCTTCCCACTTCCCTGGGAATAGATTCCAGTTCCTTTACTCATCTGACCTGTACTGATACCCCTTTCCAGTCTGTTCGTTTGTTCGTTCATTCCTTCCTTCCTTCCTTCATTCCACAAGCCAGTATTGAGCACATTTGAGGGCCCTACTCCAAACCCTTTGCCAAAACTTTCTCTTGGAAAATTACATTCTTTGATGCCAGGCCTGGCCTTTCCAGGTATATGGCATCCCCGGGGATCCAGTAGCTTCATGCCTTTATGACTGTGTCCCCCCAATGGCTCTGTGTGGCAGGGGCTGGTACTATGATGCGTACTTTTTGGATGAGGTGCCTGAGGCAGGGAGTGCAGGAGGAGCCGTCCTGTGCTCATGCTGGCAGGGAGCGAAGGTGGCCTTGGTGGTGGCTTGATGTTCTTATTCGCTTACCTTAGAGAGAACATTTATTTGGTTCCAACTTGAAACGATTCTGTACTTTTCAGAAAAGACATTTTGTTTGTTTCATGGCTCAGTAGAGTGAGAATGTGGGTGTGGCTTGAGGCTCAGCTGCTTTTTGTGGCCTCTTCCAACTTTTGGTTCATGGCTCTGTTCATGTCTTGCCAGCGAAGGAGCCCGGACTGACCACGGAGAGGGGCTGCGGGGACGGGCCGATGGGGCGGGTGGTCCATTCTTCTGCTGAGAGCTGCCCCTTTACAGCTCCCTGCAACACAGGCGGGCAGTTGAGTGCCTGGGGAAGCCGGGGCCTTCCCTGACATCGTGTCCCCAGGGATTGAGAGATGGGAAAGAGTATGTCTTGGACGTTGGTCTGGGAGCGACAACCTGCCTGCCCACTCCCAGGACTGTGGGGAAAAGCCAACCCTCAAGTGTCACGGGGTGTTGTTGGGGCTTTTCCCAGCAGCAGCAGCGGTGGTGGGCAGCACGTGGGTGCCAGGAAGGGATGGGGCCAGTATCCCCTGCCTGGGTGGCGGGTGCAGAGCCCCTGACTGGAACTGCTTAAGGGAGCATTTTCTTGCCCAGAGCAGGCCGATGCCCTGGACATGGCACTTGAGGAGGGGAGGGCTGGAAGGGAGGCCCCCAGTGAATGTCTGTGCACCTCCTGGACACTGTCCCTGAGCTAAAAGCCTGCTTTTCTGTTTTCTCTTGCAGTTACTGAGAAGGAGGTCCAGCAGTGGTGAGTAGCTGCTTTTTCTCACACCGTGTGGAGGATGGGGGTGTCGGCTTTGTGCTGATGGGGACAGCAGTCAGCTGCCCAGGACTGGGGCACGTGGAGGGGCCCCTGAGCATGGGGTCTGGGCAGGCTTTGTTCAGTTCCCTTGGCCTTGTAGGACTGACGGGGTTGCGGTGGCACTGGGCTGTGGTGGCGTTGAGTGTTTGCTGGTGGTCTTTGTTTCAGTAGCATCTTTAAGGACCAACAAGCCCTGAAGGGTTGATTCCAAGCCCTGCTCACCAAAGAGAAGGGTTTGGATAAGACAGTCCTTCTGTGACCTTGAGAGGTCCTTTCCCCTCACTGGGGCTCCATCGCTCCTTCTATAAAACAATCGATTCTCTTGGAGCAGGGATGGCAAATGGGATTGCTCTTGGATGCCAGCTCTAATTGATCTGTCGTAGCTGCCTGGAGGGCCGTGATAAGAAGGATTCCGAGGCCATACATCATGGAGCAAATGGAAAAGTGGCAGTGAGGGATCGGTGGGGCCTGTAACGGATGAGCGGATGAGCGGCGCCTGGGCTGGGCGGCGGGAGGAGGGTGGCTGTCCGTCACTGTGGAACGTGGAGTAGACGGGAGGCTCGCCCTGTAAGGTGACTGAGCTGCAGGGGCAGTGCGTAGGGACATGAGCTTGGAGACCTTCCAGGCACCCCCAGGAGTCTCCAGGGCCACCTTCTATACCTACCTGCCTCAAGTCCAGGCTGCAGATGGGCTCTGCTGGCCCGCCTGGCTCTGCTGAGCCCTTGCTGAGCGGTGCCCTAACCTGGGCCCAGCTTCCACACTCACTTTCCACTTTTCCCTGTGTGAGTGCCTCAGAAATGCCCTCCTTCTAGGTCTTCAGCCTGTGATTCTCCTTTCCTGGAATGCCCACCTTCCTTCCTGCACCATCTGAACCCTGCCCCTCCCAAGGCTCAGCTCAAGTTGCCTCCTCCATGAAGCCTCCGTAGATGCCCCATCCATACATGTTCTCCCCACCTTTGCACATGCCAGCCATAGGGGTCTTTGTCGAACAAAACCCGACCATGCCAGACATCTGCTAAAACCGTCTCTGGACCTCAGGGCGAAGTCCTCACCCTTGGCGTGGTTATGTGCTTACGAGGCCTGGTTCAGTCTGGCCCTGCTGACCCCGCAGGATGGCGTCCTCTGTCCTTTGGCCTTTGCCCTCTGGTCAGCCTGAACTGCTGCTGGTTGCTAGAACTGACCTTTGTCTCGGGGCTTCCTGATTTTTGCCCAGGCCGCTCTCCCTGCCTGCTGGGCTGTTACCTCCTTGCCCCTCCTCCACCCCTCCCCCACTGAAACCCCTCAAGCCCCTGTCTGGCTTGGGGCCTCCTCTGACCTCCCACGACCCTGCACCTCCCTGTGACAGCCGATGACATACCGGGCAGCAGATAAGCATCGCATCCCTCTCTGCCTCTCGCAAGGGCTCTGAAGGCTGGCCAGCTTGGCCTTGTCCGTGGCTGTGTCTCCAGGGCCTGGCCATGGTGGGTGGTCGGCACCCAACGGTATCGTCCCTGGTGCTTCAAATTCATGCTGCCATTGATTTCTTCTGCTTTTTTTCTTTCTTTTCTGTTTTTTTTTTTTTTTGAGACAGAGTCTTGCTTTGTCTCCAGGTGCCAGGCTGGAGTATAGTGGTGTGATCTCGGCTCACTGCAAGCTCCACCTCCTGGGTTCAAGCAATTCTCCTGTCTCAGCCTCCCAAGTAGCTGGGACTACAGATGCGTGCCACCACACCAGGCTAATTTTTGTATTTTAGTAGAGACGCGGTTTCGCCATGTTGGCCAGGATGGTCTTGATCTCTTGACCTCGTGATCCGCCTGCCTTGGCCTTCCAAAGTGCTGGGATTACAGGTGTGAGCCACTGCGCCCGGCTGCCTCTTTCTGTTTTGTTTTGAGTCAGAGTCTCTTGCTCTGTCACTCAGGCTGGATGGCAGTGGCTTGATCTCGGCTTGCCACAACTTCCACCTCCCGGATTTAAGTGATTCTCCTGCCTTAGCCTCGAGAGTAGCTGGGATTACCGGTGTGTGCCACCAGGCCCGGGTAACTTGTGTTTTTAGTAGAGACGGGGTTTCACCATGTTAGCCAGGCTGGTCTTGAACTCCTGACCTCAAGTGATCTGCCCGCCTCAGCCTCCCAAAGTGCTGGGATTACAGGAGTGAGCGACTGCACCTGGCCTGCAATTGACTTCTGAAAACAGTACTGAGGGTTGACAGAGCTCATAATTCCACATGGCAGATGAGGAAACTGAGACTCAGAGAAGGTCAGTTGGGAGGTGGCAGGGCTGAGATGAACCATAGGCATCCAGACTCCAGAAGCTGAGCTCTTGCCTGCAGGGTAAGTGTGTGTGTGTGTGTGTGTGTGTGTGTATACATTTTTTTTTTCTTGAGATAGAGTCTCTCTGATCTGTTGCCCAGGCTGCAGTGCAGTATTGCCATCTCAGCTCACTTGCAGCCTCAACCTCCTAGGCTCAAGTGGTCCTCCTGCCTCAGCCTCCCAAGTAGCTGGGACTACAGACACCCACCAAGACACCCGGCTAAGTTTTCTATTTTTTTGTAGGGACAAGGTTTTGCCATGTTGGTCAGGCTGGTTTCAAACTCCTGGGCTCAAGCGATTCTCTTGCCTTGGCCTCCCAAAGTTCTGGGATTACAGGTGTAAGCCACCATGCCCGGCTTCTATTGTGAGTATTTGAATGCAGGACGAGTGAGTAGGCAGCAAGCAGTCTTCCTGAGACACTGAGAAAGCCCAGTATCTCCCAAGGAGGTCCAGGGCAGGGGAGGGCAGTGGTTAGAGTTACTGGGTGGCCGGTAAGGGACAGATGTGAGCAGTTGTCCCCCTTTCCCATTGCCCTGGCCCTGATTGTGGCTGCTCATGATCAAGGCATCTCCCCTGGGGTCTCAGGGGACTGGGAGCTGAGGAGGGGACACTGGGACCTGTCTGGTTGGGCCTCATCCAGGGCAGGAAACAGGACAAGGTGTATCTCTGAGAGATGGGGACACTTTCCAAGCACTGCTGTCAGCCAGGCAGGCTCCCAGGCACAGTCTTGTTCATTTCCTTCTCACAATGACCCAGAACAGACAACCCCATCATGGCATCTTGGCATATGGTGGATGGAGACACTGAGACCTGCCTGAGCGCCCCCTACTGGTGTCCCCCCTCCCCACACCTGGGCCTTCTGGAGCCACAGGTGACAGAGTGGTTGGGATCATGGGCTTCAGAACCGGGCAGGCTGAACTTGAATCCTTTAATTTTTTAATTAAAATTAAAAAAATAGTTTTTCAAGACAGAGTGTCACTCTGTCGCTCAGGCTGGAGTGTCGTGGTGCAATCCCAGCTCACTACAACCTCTGCCTCCCAGGTTCAAGTGAATCTCCCACCTCAGCCTCCCAAGTTGCTGGGATTACAGGCACCCGCCACTATGCCCGGCTAATACTTTTGTGTTTTTTTAGTAGAGACGGGGTTTTACCATGTTGGTGAGGCTGGCCTCGAACTCCAAGTGATCTGCTCTGCTCAGCCTCCCAAAGTGGTGAGATGACATATACTTAAATTATTATTAATATTATTTTTTCAGAGACAGGGTGTTGCCTTGTCGCCCAGGCTGGAGTGTGCTGGTGCTATCAAAGCTCACTGCAGCCTCGACCTCCTGGGCTCCAGGGATCCTCTTGACTCAGCCTCCTGAAGAGCTGGGACTACAGGCATTTACCACCATGGCTGGCTAATTATTTAAAAAAATTTTTTGTAGAGATGGGGCCTTACTATATTGCCCGAGCTGGTGTTGAGCTTCTGGCCTCAAGGAATCCTCCTGCCTCAGCCTCCTGAGTAGCTGAGACCACAGGTGCGAGCCACAGAGCCCAGCTCTGGGCTCCAATCCTGAATTGCCCACTTCCTGGCTGAGTGACCTTAGGCAAACGACTAGACTTCTTAGGACCTCAGTTTCCCCCTCTGGAAAGGGAGGGTGATAATAGTGAAACGTTCTAGGAGTAGTGTGAAGAATAAATGTGCCAATTCACATAAGACATTTGGAACAGAGCCTCAGAAACCTGCTCTCTGCTGGCATCAAAACCTTAGTAATCACAGTCCTGATGTCATCAGTGCAAACCGCCGAGCAGCCCTGAGATTGAGGACTTCTCCGCATTAGGCGGGTGAGGAAACTGAGGCCTGGGGAGTGAGTGACTTTGATTGCTCATCAAGCATCAGTAGAGTGTGCTGTCCCACCCTGGAACACACTGCGAACTGGACAAAACCCCAGGCCCCGACATACACATGAATACAAAGTGGAGTCACTGCGGGCTGAGAAATATGTCATGGGGAAACGCAGATTTGAACGAGAAGGCGTGGGGGTGTCGTGAGGATGCAGAGGTCAGGTGCGGCTGACATTTGAGCTGCAACCTAGGCAATAAGGACTCTGGTGGAACCTGGATCTTATCCAGCCAGGCATAGAAAACAGCAAGGACCAGGGCTGGGAGTGGGGCCTGGCAAGTTTGAGGAGTGGCAGGGAGCCAAGGAAGCTGGCCTGAGGGGACGGTGTGGAGGCCCCCGCAGCAAAACTGGCACTCTTGATTGTGTGACACCCTGTCCTCACTCCTCACTGTGGGGGCACTTCCCCTAAAGAGCTTATAAAGAAAAAATCAGCCTGCTTTAGGCATGCACCTGTAGTCCCAGCTACTCAGGAGACCGAGGTGGGAGATTGGCTTGAGCCCAGGTGGTTGAGGCTGCCGTGAGCTATGATTGCTCCACCTCAGGCAATAGAGTGAGACCTTGTCTCTTAAAAAAAAACAAAAAAAGGCCAGGCATGGTTGCCCACACGTGTAATCCCACCACTTTGGGAGGCCAAGGCAGGAAGCTCACTTGAGCCCAGGAGTTTGAAACCAGCTTGGGCACATAAGGTGACCTTGTCTCTACGAAATAAGAAAAAAATGCTGGGCATGCTGGCACATGCCTGTGGTCCTAGCTACTTGGCTGAGGTGGGAAGATC